GAGGCTGCGGTGGCTGGGAGTGTGCCACTGCACTCCAGTCTGGGTGACAGAGTGAGACTCCAACTCAAAAAAAAAAAGTGAAAAACAAACAGAAGTTTTATTAACATGAGTAGCTCATATAAACATAAGAAAAACCCAAGGAAAGGAGGGACTCAAAGAGGTGTCTTAGAATTTGGGCTTAAATACCACCTTCAGCCAAAACCAAGCTTGCTATGGGGGAGGCAAGCTAAGACAGAGTGACCAGGGAAAGTATGGTAAACAGCAGTCATGTCTAATATGCAAATTTAAGTCCCAGAGTCACCCTTATCTTCCTTGTGCAGAGAGGGAGATATCCACACAAATGGAAATTTCCTTTATAGATGTAAATTTCCCTTATGAAAAAATCATTTATGCTGTTTTCAGAGTTTCTGGTGTCTGCTGTTTCTCAAAATAATCAGCCCAAAATAATCATCATGCCAAAGAGGGAGCTACCCTCACAAATGAGAATTTCCTTTATAGATATAACTTTCTCTCATGAAAAAGTCAGTAGTGCTGTTTTCAGAGCTTCTGGCATCTGCTGCTTCTCAAAATAATAAGCTCAAAATAACCTTTAGGCCAAAAAAGCATGTTCAGAGTGGCTCAGTCTGGTCCCCCCAGTTGTGACCATGCAACACTGGCAGGCATGTGAACTGTCTTCCTATACCATTGACTCTGATGAAACGTTATTGAATTCCATTTCTTATTTCTGCTTATGTGCACGTCTGCCAACATTAAGATGAGCCAGAATTAAAGTACACTTCTGAGTAAGAAAGTACACTGCGTGTGAAAATACCCTAGTTGAATTTATAATAATCTTTTGAACATGTACACATTTTTTTTTTAGTTGGAGTCTCACTCTGTTGCCTAGACTGGAGCGCAGTGGCACATTCATAGCCACCCCAGCGTCGACCTGCTGGGCTCTGGTGATCCTTCCGTCTCAACCTTCCAAGTAGCCAGAACTACAGGCATGTGTTACCACGTCCGGCTAATTTTTTTATTGTACAGATGAGGTCTCACCAAGTTGCCTGGGTTGGTCTCGAATTCATGGACCCAGGCAATCCACTCACCTTGGCTTCCCAAAGTGCTGGAATTACAGGCTGAGCCACTGAGCCTGAACCTATACACAATTCTTTTAGAGAAGTAGGAGGCTGTACAAAAGAACTTTGGTATATTGAAGGGTTTAATTTGCTAGATTTATACTTGGCACTTGTTTCAGCTAACACGGCAAATTTCAAACATGTAACTTCAAACTACATTGGTTTAACTCAGATAGCCAGCTTAGGTTTTTTGGAACAATGTTTGCATTTATGATAAAATAATAAAATGTTATTAACTGCTGGTATTTTAAGGTACTAGACTCGTTCTGTGGGTGGGCAGAGGAGAGAACTGGTTCTTACTTGGGTAAGAGACCTTGAAAAACACACATCTAGCACATGGCCAGAATGAACTTTATTTATCGTGTATCTGCCTCGTCATGACCCTTGAGTTAAGACCACTACCTCAGAATCCCAAACCTCATGTGAGGACAACTGGACATTACAAGTAAAACTGGGCCGGGTGCAGTGGCTCGCGCCTGTCATTCCAACACTTTGGGAGGCTGAGGCAGGAGAATCACTTGAGTCTAGGAGTTCAAGACTAGCCTGGGTAACATAGAGACACCTTGTCTCTACAAAGAATCGAAAAAAATTAGCCTGGTGTGGTGGCACACACCTGTAGTCCCAGCCATGTGGGAGACTAAGGCGGAAGGATTGCCTGAGCCCAGAAGTTTGAGGCTGTGGTGAACTGTGATTGTGCCACTGCACTCTAGCCTGGGCGACAGAATGAGACTCTGACTCAAAAAACAAACAAACAAACAAACAAAACTTCTGAGAGGAGCTAGATTCTTAATATATTGCAAACACAAAACTTTTTCCCCTAGGGCTGTGAAACAAAATGTATGCAACAAAATGTACTTAAAAATAGTAAGTCACATTTAAAGTAATGCATTTTCATTATTTGCCCAGGTACCTACTGCTTTATGTCAGTAATCTGTAAAAATGAAATGTCTTGTGTGAAGAGGCTAACAGAATTCATAACATCTCAGTCAACCTCACCCCCCCACCGCCCGTTTCCAACAGACACAACCAAAATGCAACAGAACCATTGTGCCAGGATGGGCATGACTTTGTAATCGAAGTTGCCCTGCATGGGGTTGTGTCTTCTCTTCCATTGTCACTGTTTCTCTCCCTCTTGGCTCTACATTTTTTTTTCTTTTGAGTTGGAGTCTCACTTTGTCGCCCAGACTGGAGTGCAGTGGCTGCTCCTGGCCACTGCAGCCTCGACCTGCTGGCCTCTGGCAATCCTTCCGCCTCAGCCTTTCAAGTAGCTGGAACTACAGGCATGCGCTACCACGCCCGGCTATGCTCTACATTGTTGGGATTTGCACAACACTAGGTAAAAACAAGATTTAGGATGGGAGGCACTAGGGGAACATATTCAGACCAAGCACACCTCCTGGAAACCATCACAAATTTCTCATACAAACACTAGCTGAAACAATGTTGCAAGAGATGGGTGGCTGGGCTGGGTGGCTCAGCCTGTCATCCTAGCACTTTGGGAGGCCGAGGCAAGTGGATTGCCTGAGCCCGTGGGTTCGAGACCCCCCGGCAACTTGGAAAGACCTCGTCTCTACAATAAATCAAAAATCAGCTGGGCGTGGTAGCACGCGCCCGTAGTTCTGGCTACTTGGAAGGCTGAGGTGGAAGGATCACTGGAGCCCAGCAGGTCGAGGCTGCGGTGGCCGTGAACATGCCACCGCACTCCAGCCTGGGCGACAAAGTGAGATTCCAACTAAAAAAAAAAAAGAGATGGGTAAGATACAAAGCTTGATGCAGTTCCAATATCGTATTGACTTTCTACTACTGCCACTTGAGTGGCCAAGTGATACACTTGTGTCATCTTACAGTTTGATGGGTTGTGTGGTTGGCACAGGGGTCATTAGACTGAAGTTGAGATGTCAAGGTATTCGCAAGGCTGCATGCTTGCTGGAGAATGTGTCTCTTGCCTTTTCCAGCTGCTGGTACTGCCCACATTCCTGGGCTCATGGAATCCCTCCCTGCTAACTCCAGCTTCAAAGACAGCAGTGGCAGGTGGAGTCTCATTTCCTATCGGATTCCTCTGTGTTCACAGCTCCCTGATTCTCTTCCTCTGCCTTCCTTCCCCACTTTTAAGGTCCTCTTCCTTAGAAGGACCCTTGTGATCACAGAGGGCCCACCCCCAACAGTCCGGGATAATCTTCCTATTTTAAGTATTTTCAGTATTTTAACTATTTTCAGTAAACTTAATTCTCCTTTGTCAGGGAAGGTCACACATTCACAGGTTCCCAGGATGAGGGCATGGTCGTATTTGGGGTTCCATTAACTCTACTATAGGGATTAAAAAGCAAAAAATTGGCCGGGTGCAGTGGCTCATGTCTGAAATCCCAGCACTTTGAGAGGCAGAGACAGGAGGATTGCTTGAGCCCAGGAGTTCGAGACCAGTCTAGGCAACATAGGAAGACCTTATCTCTACAAAAAAAATATAAACAAATTAGCTGGGCATGGTGGCACATGCAAAGCTTGATGCAGTTCCAATATCGTATTGACTTTCTACTACTGCCACTTGAGTGGCCAAGTGATACACTTGTGTCATCTTACAGTTTGCAGTCCCCAGCTACTTGGGAATCTGAGGCAGAAAGATCACCTGGGCCCAGGAGTCTGTGGCCACTGCACTCCAGCCTGGGCAACACAGTGAGGTCCCCAACTCAAAAAAAAAAAAGAAAAAAAAATCCATAACCTGTCTTTCAGGGCAGTGTTTAATAAGCAGATTTTTCTGCTGGGTATCCCTATACATAGTCTGTTTTCACAAATTCAGATGTTTGTAAAGTAAAAATGGATTCTGAATTTTGGTTTAAGTTATAAAACAATTGTAAGACTGTGGACATGTAATCAGGGACTGGAACTTTGAAAGCTATTATTCATTCTTCCTGTAACATGTATTTGAGTTCGTTGACTAGGGCTGTCTTAACCAAAATACCACAGACCGGGAGGGTTAGACAACAGACTTATTCTGTCTCCATTCTGGAGACTCAACATTTGAGGTCAAGGTTTCAGTGGGGTTGATTTCTTCCGTGGTCTCTCTGCTTGTGTCTTCATGTGGTCTTTCCTCTGTGTGTGTCTGTGTCCTCATCTCTTCTTCTAAGGACACCAGTTCCACAGAGTCAGGGACAACCCCAGTGGCCTCATTTCACCTTAGTCACCTCCTATCTCCAAATACAGTCATGTGCTGAAATGTTGGGCATCAGGACTCCAACATGCAAATGTGGGGAAACAATCCAGCCCATGACAACATCGAATGAACTTAATGATGAACTTGTAAAAGGCACTACATGAAGACAGCATCCCTGATGCCCACACAAGAGGGTGCAGGGGACGTCACTTGGACATTCATTGACACTTACTCTCAGGGAGATCTTTTTTTCTACAAAAATGGTGATTTATTTTGCTTTAACATACAATGGTAAATACAGTGGGGATGATCAAGTTTAAATTTTTTTTGTTTTTTTTTTTGCCAGGCTTCCTTTACATATTACAATACTAATGTAAACTCACAAATTCTTCCATTTTGATGACGGGAAGGGATCCCACTGATACCTGCTGGCAGCTCAGCTGAGAATGAACGTGAAAATCAAACAATACACCGGAAATTGAAAGTACTTTCTCCTCCAAATGTGTATAAAAGCTTTGAAATAAAATCACTGTCTGCTCCACAGGACAGACCATTTGAATTTTAAAACTGCTCCAGACCAGGAATAGTATAACCCCGTGTAACAATACATACAATACAGCTTAACAAAATTTTATCGCAGACTTTTGCACTTGAGATTTAAAAAAAGAAAACTGAAGAAAAAGAAAAACAGTAGCCAAGGAACTGCACAACCAAAAAAATGAAAATTATATAAAATATTTCCACCACTATTTCAATGCCAAATTTAATCAAAAGCAATAGTAAAAAAAACAAAACGACATAATAATACAACTTTCTTTTTTAAAATAACAGCACTGTTCCGCCTCTTCCCCACCCACTGAATTTTACATATGAACAGACTATATATACCGGATTTTTAGAGAAATGTCTGTTTGGTCTGCCACACCTGTCGGGCTCATCCCAAATCTTCCTGGTGTCTTCAGAGGACATGAAGCCCTGTGCTGTTTCTGTATTTCCAACACTCCGGTAGGTGCAATGTCTCAAGTATAATACATTTCTCCCTTTTCCTTTACACAGTGCAGAGTATATGGGCTTAGGTGACGTGGCTTCTCCTTCACTCCAGGTCACTGTCTTTCTCTAAATTCAAGGCGGTGTTCAGCGGAGTGCAGTAGTTCGGCTTGTCAGAAGGGACGTAGCCCGGCAGACACAAACACTTGTAGGATCCTTCGGTGTTGATGCACTTGGCGTTCTTGCAGAGAGACATTCGGTTGTTCAGCTCGCCACATTCATTCACATCTGCGACAAGCCAAACATGCAGATCAGAGATCTTTCCTATGAGTAAAAGCGACCTGGGCTTACCCGAGGGGACAAGGTGGCCTGAATTCTGCTCCTACCCGTCCCCCCACCTACCTCCCCAGGTAACGCTTTAAAGTTGACCTTTTAAAGTTGACTTTTTGGCTGTACAGCACATAATTATCTCCCTGAATATTTGACACAGCCTAAGCTAATGTAGACTTCAGGAAAAAATTCGCTTCCTATCAATCATTTTGGATAAATGTCTCCTAAAATTATCCCTCAGGTTGTCCTCTCTCTTGTATGGAAAAGAACAGAAAACTAGCCGGGCTCGGTGGCTCAGCCTGTAATCCCGCGCCTTGGGAGGCTGAGGTGAGTGAATTGCCTGAGCCTGTGGGTTCGAGACGCACCTGGGCAACTTAGCGAGAACTCATCTCTACA